CCGCCCCCCGCCATGAGCGCCGCCGCTGGCTGCAGGCAGAGTCGCTGCCGCCCCGGCCGCCGCTGGCTCCAGTCCGCCGCCATTATTCTTTGTTCGCTGCGAGCGGCGGCGATGTTGTGGGGCTCGGGCGGAGGCTCCATCTTTACCGCGGCCCCTCCTGCGAGGGGAAGGCCCCGAGCGCGGGTGTCCGGCGCCTCCCCGTCCCCCCTCCGTCCCCCCGGCTCTCTCCAGCTCCTGCCTCCTCCTCCTGCTCCTCTTACCGGTGGTACAAGCTCCTCCGTCACTGCTTTCGTTCGCGGCCCGGATCTCGCTGGAGTTTTATTCTCTCCCCCACGTAACACACCGCGTCAAACTACACCTCCGCCGCGTCACTCACCAACACTCCGCTTCTCCCAGCCGCCCGGGCCACAGGCAGCAGCAGCCGCCGCCGACTGAGGAGCCGCAGCCAGGGAGCCAGCCAGCGCCGCCCAGTGCCGAGTGCGCAGCGGCCGCACACGGAAACAGCCGAGCTCCGCCCGGAGCAGCTCGAGCGGCCCCGCCCCGCGCTGGGGGCGGAACTTGCCGAAGGCCTTCGGGTACCTCCGGGCGAGGCGAAGGCATTCCGCCAGGAGAGTGAAGGTGAAGGTGGGCTGAGACCGGGGCCAGGAGGAGGGGTCTAAGCCCCTCCGCTGCGTTCGGGTGGGTAAAACCAGACGGCGGAAATTTGAAGGAGGAAGCGGGGTTTGTGTGTGGCCTCGTGGGGAATTCCCGAGGGGTGTCGGTGACTTGACGGAAACCCCCACGCTGGCCTGCCGGGGTGGCCGTAAGCGGCGGGCTCTAGGGCAACTTCTCCGGGTCCCGGCTCGGCTGCAGAGCGCCGCCAGCGCGGGAACTTTCAAACGCTGTGGTGATGTGGGAGACGCGCTGCCTAGGCCGGAGTGCGGGAGTCGTGCGGGCTGGGGAGGAAGGGCTGCTGCGCCTCTGCGAACGCGCCCGGGGCCGGGACTGGGCACGCGAGGCTGCGGCGCTGCCCCGGCGGGACCCCGGGGCATGGTGGGCCCTGGGTGGGGACGGTTTTCCCGCGCCGAGAATCAGCGGAGAAACCTGGCGGCCGCCAGCGGAACACCTTTTCTTCGGGAGGCGGAGGCTCTGCAACTTGTGGCACCTCGCGGGGCTCAGCCCAGCAGCGGGGGCAGCCCGGGCTGTGGGTCCCATCGACGGCCCTCGGAGGCCTCCGAGCCATGACCTGCCCTGACCGAGGTTGCTCTTCAGCACTCGAAATATGTCCCCATCCCACCTGCGCGCCTTTCTTCAGCAACATCCTGTATCGCTTTCTTTTCTCAGCCTGTTCTCTACAGCAGTGGTTTGCACCCACTGCACTCTTTTCTTCACAACCCACCCCCACCCTATACCAAACTGTGTGACTTCCGTGGCCTGCGCTTTCAAGAGGCCGCACCCCTGACTCTCCATTCACCTTTTTATTGAACTCCGTAGCCCTCTCGGAGACCTGGGCTTTCAAGTCTTGTAATTCTTTCTGTTCCTTAAAGCAGACATGTCTTTAGGAAGCAGACAGACAGGGTTCAAATCTGGACTCCTGTTTACTGATTTCTGTTATGAAGAAAGAGTTGCCCTTCCTGGTACTATAGATCTCATCCCCTACTGCTTTTTCCAGGACTTTGGATGTAGGAGTATCCCCCTTTTCTTCTGTTATTTTCCACCTTTCCTTTTCTACCGGCTCTTTCCTATAAGCACTTAAACATGCTCAAGTCTCTCAATTATTTACAAAGTTTTCTCTTCCTAAATCCCTCTCCAACAACTCCAACTGTCTCTTACCTCATCCAGGGATGGGGAACCTGTGACCTCAAGGCCACGTGTGGCCCTCCAGATCCCCAAGTTTGGCTCCTTGACCAAATTTAAACTTTATTAAAAGGATTTGTTCTGTAAAATTTGGATTCAGTCAAAAGGCCACATGGATTCCCTCTCTAGTCTAAGTGGCTCTGAATTTTCATGGACTTAGAGCTTAATGTAAATCCAATGGATGATTTTCAGTACTCATTTTGTAAGACCTCATCCTAGTATTTGACACTGTTGACCACACGGTCTTCCAAATATACTCTTCCCTCTGCTCTTATGTCATAGTTTTCCTCCCTGCCTCTGTTTGCTCTTGAACAACCAGCTCCTCCTTCTTTATCCAGCTCTTCTATATTGGAATCCTGCTGAGTTGAATCCTGGCCCACTTTCTGAGTCCCACCATATACACTTTTCTATGTGGTGTCTTGTCCTCTTCTAGTAGCTTCAAATACCCTCTGTCAAAGACTCTCCATAACTCAAGCCTACATCTTGCTCTTGAGCTCTAGATTCATATTTCAACTGTCATTGCTACACTTTCATGTGGATGACTGGGGCATTTCAAACTCAACCTGTAAGTCATAATCCCTTCAAAACTCTCCTGCCATATCCCCTGATTCAGTTAAGGGTATCCTATCCATTTACTCAGTTTAAGCCAGAAACCTAGCATACCTCCAACATACATCACAATCACCTTGACCTCTCTGCTTCCTGAAAAACTGGATTTGTCCCCATGGCCATTTTTCCATTCCCATTCTAGTCTAAACTACCTTCACCTCTTGCTTGAAGTCCTACAATAACCACCACTGAGGTCCCCCAGAACTGCTCTTGCCTCATCCCAATACATTTGCCACACTACCACCAGACTAATTTTTTAAAAATACCAATCTGATCAAATCACTAACCTGATTAAATTCCTTCAGTGGGTTCCTTTTGCTTACTGAACACTATCTAAGCTCCATTATCTGGCCTTGTCTTTCTCCCCCTCTCCAACTGTCCCCCCTAGCTCTCTGCACTCCAGCCATAGTAGTCTTCTGCAGGCTCTCTCCTCAAGGAATTTACACATGCCATCCCACCCCCTAGAGTTCTTTTCTCTCATCCCCTCCTGCCTAACTGTAATTTATCACTTTCTTTTTCAATTCATCATTCTTGTAATTATTTGTTTAGTGTCCATATAATGTCTGTGCAGGTAGGGACCACATCTGTCTTGTTCGCTACCAGCTTTTCCTCTTCCCTCCCATCTCTAGCAACCACACAATGTCTAGAACATAGTGGTGCTTGTTAAGTATTGAATAAATAATGAATTTTGGTGTGGTCCCAGGCAAAGTTTCTTAACATTTTTGGGTTCAAATCCTGGCTCTTTTAGCAAGTTCAGGCTGCCATAATACCGTAGACTGAATGGCTTACAAACAACGGAAATTTATTTCTCACAGTTCTGGAGGCTGGAAGTCTGAAATTAGGCTGCCAGCATGGTCAGGTTCTGGTGAGGGCCTCTTCAGGATTGCAGGTGGCTGTTTTCTCTCCGTAGTCTCACAATGCAGAGAGAGGGCAAGCACTCTCTGGGGTTCTTTTTATAAGGCATTAATCCCATTCACGAGGGCTCTACCATCATGTTCTAATTATCTCCCAAAGACCCCATGTCCTGATACCAACACATTGGGAGTTACGATTTCATCGTATGAGTTTGCAAGGGACAAGGCAGGCACACAAACACTCAGTCCATTGCACTGGCTCAACCATTTGCTAGCTAGTGACTTTGGACTAATTGTTCATTCCTGTACCTCAGTTTTCCCATCTGTAAAATAAAGAATATGGTGGCACTTGCATTATAGTGTTATTGTGGTGATTACATGACATAATACATATAAAGTATACTTGGAACAATGTTTGGCATGTAATATGTTAATAAAAATGTTGCCTGTTACTAGCTTTTACTTGGATATCTCATCCTTGTGTCAAATACATTTTCAAAATTTAGTTCATCTTCCTGTTCTTCCTACCCTGACCCTATACATGATACCAAAATTTTGGAATTATCTATTCATGGCCTATATTTATCACCCACCAAATATGCTGATTTTTTTATTTTAAAATTTTCTCATATTCACTCTTCCTTTATTCACACCGACCTTCATTTAGGCTCTATCTCATCACATCTCATTTACTTTACTAACTTCCTAGGTACTTTCTAACTACAGGCCAGCTTCCCCTGTACACTTGTACCCTACTGTCAGACCAGTGGGCCTCAAACAGTTATTAAATCATGTATCCTCTTTGACTTACGCTCTAGCAGCCTCTGTTCCCACCTAACTTTGTTCAATCATTCATTCAATCATCCATTCACTGAAGTGCAAATTATTTTACCAAACGTTCTGGGTATACTCCAGATTTCAAATCCAGTCTCCCAATTTCATATATTCTGTTCTAGCATCTCCATAAACCACAGACATGAACTGGGAAGGTTAAACTTTCAGCATCCAATTTTTGGTCTCTGGTACTTTGAAGCCACTTCCATTTTTGTTGTTGTTGTTGCTAATTATTATTTTTTAGAGACAGGGTCTGGCTGGCTATGTTGCCCAGGCTCGAGTGCAGTGACTCTCCACAGGTGTGATCATAAGAACACTGAAACCTTCAACTCCTGGGCTCAAGTGATCCTCCTGCCTTAGCCTTCTGAGTAGCTGGAACTATAGGCAACTTCCACTTTTGACTCAGTTTCCCAATTGAAATATATGGTCAATATCAGGGAGATGAAAGTAGAAGGGAGCACATGGATCTTGAAAGAGGTCCAGAGTAGGGGGAAGATCCCATGAGATGATTATAAAAGGTTTCAAGGAGAAAGTGGTATTTGAGAGCTTTTTTCTAACCACAGCTTCCTTTTCCTGTTATTTTTCTTTCTTGCTTCTGCTGTCGAACCTAATTTTCACCCTCACTATGAACTCCAGTTCCATGAACCCTGCCTATCCTGTACTTCATCATCTCTTGTCACTTGATTTGCCTTCCTTTCTGACCCCAAGGCCATTGTGACCTACTTCATTTATTCTAAAAATATCTGTTCAGCACCTATGCATTCTTCTAGAAACTGGGGATATAGCAGTGAAGAAAACAGATTGTCTCTGCTCTCAAAGGTACTAAAATCTTCAGCCTCTCTACCTTCTGACATTTCTCTTTTTGCTCACTGTTTGATGTTATCATCCAGGCTCATGATTGCAGATACTATGTCTGTGTTGACAACTCTCAAAATTATATCTTCTCCCCAAATCACTCTCCCAAACCCCAGACTCATTTAAACAGCTACCTGCTCACATTTCCACTTGGATGTTGTCTTAGCCTGTGTCTCCCAGAAAGTAGAAACTGAGGCAAAAGCTGTGCTATTATATTACTAGGGAGAACGATCCCAGGAAAATGAAGGGAGGGAAAAGCAGTGAATCAGGGGAAGAGGTCAAGGTTCAATCAAAGGGATGCTAACACTACTCTCTGCCCCACTACTCTATGTTTTGTGTGGTCACCAAACAGACCCCCCTGGTAAGATGTATGGCCTGAGCAGGAGGCTAAATGCTGCCAGGTGGTTACTGCCTGAGTTGGTTGGCCAGTGGTGATGGGGGCAGAATAAGTGGCCCAAGGGCCCCTAGGCAAGTGAGGCCAAGAGGATCTGAGGTGCTACAGATGTCTACTAGAC